TGCTGTATTAATGTATATAGCATAATATATAAATGCTATATTAATCCATCATTTTTGCTATATCAGTGGCAGCTATATTAAGGCCATCCCATAATGCACTTTGATAAAACAAGAGTAATGTTGAATGCTTAACATGACAGACAGACAGACAGACAGATAGACAGATAGACAGATAGATAGATAGACAGATAGATAGACAGATAGATAGATAGATAGATGGTGTATTTTTCATAAATTTGATTTGAATGTAGTTCAAACTAAGTCAGCAGAACCAACAGAAAATCCTTTAACAATCAATGCTGTGTGTCTGACTTCACACACTCACCCACTCAAAACAGAACATCTTTACTCTAAACGGAAGGTGCTGGAAATCCTATTAGAGCTGCCGTCCTCAGATCTCAGCGAGACGTGTCTGAGTTCAGCGCTGATGGCGTGTCTGTGACACCCACATGACCCCGACTTTGCATCATTAACATTGTGCTTGGACAACTGTATGTGTGAAATGCTAAAAAATTAGACCCCACGGCATCCACAAACATCCCGATACCCGGAGTTTAAAGCCTGCGGGTCTCGTTTCGTCACACTTGCTCCTTCAAAACCAAGCTCCCGGTGGAGAGCGTCTTTAACACTGATCTGGAGTCAGCCTCCCCTGTGCGAATCGCAACCTGAGGCGCTACAGACGGAGTCATGAACTTGGTTTCGCATCAGTGTAAAGGGAGCATACTAACTCTTTAAAGCAGGTGAGGTTGAAAATGAGGCTGTCAGACTTCTGCCTCCTCTTCCTCTCATCGTTTATGAGTCATGAGTGGGTAGGAGGACTTTTGAGTCGCTGCCAGTCAAGAGAGGCACCATGACACACGGCTGAGGCAGAAATGGGTCACCAAGTGTCTGCTGCAGAGATTAATCGCTAAAGGCCTTCATTGCTCACTTAAGATTTCTTATGTTTGCATTTGTGGATTGTTTTGACATGATGCACCCAGAATTCACTGCTGTTGTTAAACAAATGGCCATAGTGACATGTTAAGGCATTGAATTATTGCCAGTGTCATATCCTGCAAGAGTGTTTAGATACATATATATATATAAGTAAGTATAAAAAAGGAGGTTTCATAGAACGTACACTACTGTTAAACAGTTCAGGGTGGGTAAATGTTTTAATGTTTTTGAAATACATCTCTTATGTTCACCAAGGCTGCATTTATTTGATAAAAATACAGTAAAAACAGTAATATTGTGAAATATTATTACATTTTAAAATAACCGTTTTTAAATAGAATATATTTTAAAATGTAATTTATTCCTGTGATGTAAAGCTGAATTTTCATGATCATTACTTCAGTTTTTAGTCTCACATGAGCCTTCAAAAATCATTCTAATATGCTGATTTGCTGCTTTAAAAACATTTCTCTTTATTGAAAACAGTTGTGCTGCTTAATATTATGTGGAAACTGTGATACATTTTTTACTGTGATACATTTTTTTATTCAGGATTCTTTAAAGAATAAAATGTCCAAAAGAACAGCATTTATTTGAAATACAAATCATTATTTGTCTTTACTGTCACTTCTGGATAATTTAATGCATCAATGCAGAATGAGTATTTATTTCTATATCAATTTATTTCTTTACTGACCCTAAACTTGTCAGAAGGTGGTTATGATTCCTTAATTAATAAATCTAGTGCACTAGATTTCGGAACAGAACAATTGTGTGCAAAAAAATTGCTTGCATAGTTATCAAATTAATGAGGCAAGTTTAACATATCTGCTTTCATAGTGATTATTACAAATAATGTTTTAACAAATGTGACCCTGGACCACAAAACCAGTCACCTTAAATTTTTACTTTTCAGTCTTAATTAATCAGTGCATCCTTTTCAAGTAGATTTAAAGCTTATGGTGCATGTGCAACGGAGCATGGGAAAAGAGCAGGGAGAGTTAGGAGTTCAGCCCGGCCAGTGTGGAAAAAGCGAGGAGGGTCACATCATAACTCCCGTTATTAATCTGCAAAGAGGCAGTATTGATAAGGTAAGCATATCAAAGCTTTCCTAGCTGCTGACAATCACTGTGCAACAACATAACAGATGCTGTTTCCTGTATACATGTGTGCACGGACTGACAAGAAACAGGACGGAGGGGACGGCTGCGGCAGGCGGCGGTAATCGCATGGTAAACAGCTGTGTGCGGCTAACTCAAAACTCGCTGGAGAGGAGCATGCTCACTTCTTGAAGCAGAAGGAAATATGATTGCAGTTGGATGGATTTGGATTGAAATATTGCAAAGTTTTTTTCCCCATAATCCCTCATGCCTGAATGCACGAATGTTATGGATGTGTTTTGAATGTTTATCTGTAGTATTGCATCAATGAATCCAGTGGGTGAGATGTTTTAAAGCATTGTAGTTTCATCACATTTGAATTTCCTAATTTGATTGGGATTGGATAGAATATCTTAACTCAGTCGCATTCAGTTAGGTGATCTTTGTTTCAGTTCTATCTTTACTTAAGAAGGCAGTGTTTCTTTATCATCCAAAAATGATAATTTGCTGAAAATGTACTCACACTCAGGCCATGTAGATGACTTTGTTTCTTCATCAGAACAGATTTAGAGAAATTTAACATTACATCACTTGTTCACCAATTGATCCTCTGCAGTGAATGGGTGCCATCAGAATGACAGTCCAAACTAGGGCTGCACGATAAATCGAAATGAAATCAAAGGCGGGGATCCGGAAGTGACAGAGGACCAAAGTGGAGCCGGAGGGAAGGAGGAGCCTGACAGAGCCAGAAGGACGGCGGGACGAGGTGTAGCCGGAGGAGCGGAGTCCCGAGGCGGTGGATAGTCGACGACAGACCAGGCGTCGTAGAATGCACAGAGCGCGTCATCTGGGTAGCTGGTTAGAGCAGTGATGACCAGGAACAGTCTGGTATGACCCTCGAGCGATCTCTCCCCCTGCTCCAGCAGGAGGATGAGGTATTCCGGATGGGAGAGGGGATCCATAGAAACAACTGAAACAAAAACTGAGGGAACACACGGAGGTAACTGTACTTGGTCGGGTCTTCTGTCACAATACGCTGGAGCACAGGCACGAAGAAATGAGGAGACGTGGAGATTTCACAAAAAACGAGAGTCTTTAATAATCTAACAGGGAGTCACAGAGCACAAGGATGACGTTCACAACAAGTAGACCCGACAAAGGAAGACTGAACAAACAGGAACTTAAATACAAGGGATAATTACTTAACACAGGTGCACAGAATGACTAATTAACTAAACGAGGACAGGAACATGGCCAAAAATGAGAACACAGGAACAGAAACAGGGGCAAAACATAACAAAACAGGTCCATGATCCTTACATATCGCCCCCCCTCCTGGAAGGCACGTCCTCGCGCCATAGAACAACAGAGGGGGGGGCACAGGTGGGAACTTGGAAGGCAGCTCAGGAGGAGGACGGACACCCAGCAGGATGGTCGACGACAGACCAAGGCGGAGCCAGAGGGATGAGGGAGCCCGGCGGAGCTGGTGGACTAACGGGCCACGGCGGAGAGGAGGGAGCTAGGAGCCGTGGTATAGCCACTGGGTCGAAGGGCCGAGGCAGAGTCCAGGACTCAGAGGCTGGAGGCTGAGACAAGGGATCCTCCAGCCATGATGCCGATGGAGACTGGTAGACCCACGGTAATCCCACCGTACAGATGGTGGGATGAGGGTGAGCAGAGGGGCTGCCAGGAGACAGCGGTGGCGATGGTGAGGACTGATATAGAGGAGGTGGGAGAGGGAGGCTGGGCAGGAGTTCAGGATGATCCGGGGGCTTAGGAACGGTGTGTGCAGCCCACACACACACTACAAGGCCACTGCCAGCACCAGGAGCACCATAGATAGGGGGACGACCTCCATAGTCGTTTCAGGACTGGCAGATAGTTCAGGGCAGACAGATAGTTCAGACGAAGGCTGGAGAAGAGGGGGCATGTCTGCGTATAAATCCCAATTACAGTCCACTGAGCTCAGCTAACCCTCAGCTATGGTGCAGTGGGCGGAGCTTCCCTCCGCGCTCTCGCTGTCCATGACGCTCTCCCCCGTGGCGAGCTCTGTAGCCGGCTCTCGCACCTGGTCTGACATTTTGGGATCTAGCTCCGGGGCGATCCTCAGCACTATTGCTCTCTTTGGCGATGACTCGTCGGTCGCGACGGTCTCTGGCTCTCCGTCAGCAGTGGGCTCAGGGCAGCGGGGTGGTGGTGGGCTGGGCTCTGGGTTGAGCGGTGTTCGCGATCGGGGCCGGACACTCTCCAGACACCGGACGATCGCCTCCCTCCATTGCAGTCCCGCAGTGTCTGGGAGGTCGACGGGGCGGTGGTAGTTAGCCCTGATCTTGAACAGGGAATTCAGCGTCTTGTCGTCGAAGGCGGTAGTGACGGCGAAACGGCTGAAGTCCCTCGTGAAATCCTCGATATTCTGGCTCCTCCGAGCCAGAGCGGTGAATCTCGCGGCATGCTCCATCAGAACAAAAACAAAGAGAAAAACTTTCAAAAAACATAAAGAAAACACGGGGAAAGGCGCCGCATACTTATTATCACTTTTGTGTCCGGTCTTCTGTCACACTACGGTGAGACAAACGCACGAAGAAGATGAAGATAAATGCAAATAGTCTTTAATTAGTCCACAAGAGTGTAATTCCAAAACAGACAGGCAGGAACACACACATAGCGCAAAGTATGGACATAGTAGACCGGACGACAAACAGTGAACTGAACACAACTTAAATAGGAGGGCTGATGAGGGCAATTAACCACACACACCTGAACCAAAATGACAATAATCAGACATGAGGGAAAAATAGGTCACACAGAGCACATGGGGAAGGAAACACAACAAAACAGGTCCTTGAGGTGTGACAGCTAATTAATAAAGAGACATGCATTTTGATTTATTATAAGTGATTATTTATTTATAAGTAATTTCCACTGTTATTTTAATTACAGAATGTCATTAAAGATGTGGTAGATTTAAATTAAATTCTGGTGACTATTGTTAAAAAAAAAAGATAAATCTCCCATGATGCATGTCTGTCCACATAAATTATACTGGTGAGAGAGTGCAAACAGCATTTTATGAGTTTATTTTCTACATGGCCAAGTGTGGCCATAGTTGAAGAAACACCTGGATCTTTTTGGGGATGTAAATCTCATGATAATTTCAATTATTTGAGAATCTTATATTGTTTTCCACCTTCCACACTTTTTCCCCCAGCAGGCATCTGTTGAAAAACAGGAACTATATTTCACCCCCATGTCGGAATGAATCCTGCTTTTAAATGACGTTTCCTGTTATTATGTGGTTTTTATTTTTTTCTGAGCTGTTGGTTTTGTGGTCCATCTCAGCGCGGGCTTCATTAATCAGCAGTCCGGAGAGAAATGGCTCACCTGCTTGTTGAGGCGTTTATCTTTAGCTAATTTCCTGGCGGGATGCCTGTCATGCTGTGTTAAAAACCAGGAACAGGTGTAAACAAAACAGGGCCAGGGTCTCAGGACTGTATCTGCGCTGTATATTTCTTTATATCAGCAGACCTGTCTGAAAGTGGAAAAAAGTGCATAATAATAAGTTTGTTGCACCTCTGAACTGTGTGGACTGCTTTTCCATAATTGAATTTTGAGTTAGAAGTTTCAAAGCCAATATTATCAGTGTGCATAAAAGAAATGCCTTGATTGGATTTCCTTTATTTGATTTCTAAAGGGCCACATTTATTGATATTTTTAATTATATGCAAAAAAAAAAAAAACTTAGAAGTTTGTGGGCTGATCGGTAGTTTGAAACATCTGCCTCATTCAGTTCAGTGAAGACGTGACTTTTCATTAAAATTACTTGCCAATCATTTCTAATAACTGTCAAATAGTCAAACATCTTGTGGGGGGGGGGGGGGGGGACATAATTATACTTTGCTTGGAGATGAAAATAAACATTCGTAATTAACATGCAGCGCAGACATCACCCAAATGGGAGAAAGACAATGCACGGCGAGATCTGCATCTGTGAGAGCGACTGTGGCTTCCAGGAGCAATCGGCAGAAAAAACCCTGCAGCTCGGGCCCAGAACGGCTCACGGCAGCTGGAGCCAAACCCCACAGCTGACAGCTGGTTTGGGCTGAGGCTGGTCTACGTGACCCGGCTAGTTCCAGCTCCGTTGACAAGGATGCACAGAGACAGAAACGCTCAGACAATATGGCATTCACACAGTGATCACAGAAGAGCGCACAGTGCAATCGCCGGGTCTGCGCTGAGAATGTGACATTTTTGTTAGAGGCACACAAGGATATTAGATTTACATATCAATATGAACAATGGTCATTGTTTGATTGCAGGGTTTTCATTGTATCGTTTTGTATGGGAGGTGTCACAGTGAGTTGCAGTCATATCCGTATACCAGCACCTCCCTCCGGACCCCAGGATCAACCCACCTGACAGTCTGTCTGAACACTTCTCAAATGAGTTTGTGCCTGTCTGCGCTGACTAATGCATCAAAATAACTGCAACTACACACTCATTAGCACCTAGTTTTTTCTAAATGAAGGTTTTGTTGGTTAGTCCCTCCTGGTAGATGTTGGAACTACCATCAGGACTCAAAAAACAGCATGGCAATCAATCAATCAATCAATCATAATTATTCAGGGAGTTCAGATGACTGGGAATGCTTTGCTAACATGTAAAAAGACATTGAAGATTATCTAAACTACAAAAAAAAAATGTTTTTTTTCTTTCAGTTTTTATAGCTTTGTCTTGTTTTTGTTTAAAATGTATTTTCATTTTTTAAAAATGTTTTTAAATCTATCTATCTATCTATCTATCTAGAAATGAAGATTATATACACTATAAGCTATTTTTTTCTTCAGTTTTCTAGTTTTTTTGGTTTTATTTTAATGTTTTGTAATTTTTTCTTTTTTTTTTTCGTGAAAATTACAAGTTTTTAAATCAATAGTGTATGTTAGTTTTAGCTTTTAGAAACAATGATGACTGGAGTATGCTTAATAAGAAAATACTATTTCAGCCTATCTACTTCAAATTTTTTATTTAATGTGTTACTTGCTGTTTCTTTGAAATTATTTTTTTCTGAGTGAAAATGATTTCCTACAGCAATTTACTTACACCTACTCACTTTCTATTACCGTCCTGGCAAACCTTTTAAAGCGATAGTTCACCCAAAAATGAAAATTACCCCATGATTTACTCACCCTCAAGCCATCCTAGCTGTTTATGACTTTCTTCTTTCAGACGAATACAACCGGAGTTATACTAAAAAATGCCCTGGCTCTTCCAAGCTTTATAATGACAGTGAATGGGTGTTGATATTCAATAGTACAATAGAAGTCCAATAAAGTGCATCCATCCATCATAAAAAGTGCACCACACGGCTCCGGGGGGTTAATAAAGGCCTTCTGAAGCGAATCGATGAGTCTGTGTAAGAAAAATATCCATATTTAAAACTTTATAAAGCACAATCTCTAGCTTCCGCTAACTGTCGTACGCACAGTTGTCGTAGGCTCTGGTGAGAAGTGACAAACGCGGAAGTGCAGTGGAGAGAGCAAAACAAAACACCTGTCATGAATTAGAAGCACAAAATGAGGATTTGTAAAGAAAAACGTTGGAGGATTTTGATATAAGCCAAGAGGAGACTGGTTTTCATTTGCTGTAAACAAAATTTGGTTCTCGCGAGACTAGCATATTCTCACTGGAGCTTACGCTGCGCTTTTGTCATCCGCTGGAATGCCACTCCCTCGTGAACGTGCATACAACATCATTTTCATTTTTGGGTGAACTATCCCTTTAAGTTTAATTCAATCACAATAATGCATCTAATTGGCTCTGACAGTCTCGCTAAATCGATTCAGCCTTTCCACCTTTTTTCTTTTCCTTTATGACTAATTAAATATTCTGAGTGATGTGCATTGATCACTAATCTTTGTGAGCGCTAGTTGCAAATACGTAAAATAACTGTAACTGATTGGCAGGTATATTTTCTAAATTTAACGAACAATAAAAGGTCAAGAAATAATTATTCCATAAGCAAAGACATTATCAGACCTGAATCAGTGAACACCACTGAATATCACATGCTATGAATAATAATTCATAGTGATAAGGTGTGGGACGACGACGGATGTAGTTTTGTTCTTTGCACTCAATTATTCCATAACACCACAGGTGTTTTGAATATATTATATCATAATTAATCTTACAAAGTGTAGCTTTAACAAATAACCTGCTGTCTCAAAATGACGAGGTCTTCATACCAGATGGTTGCACTGCAAGACACTTTACACTGAAAAAGGACAATTCTGTCCCACGCTGAGTTAGAAAATATATATATCTTGACCAAAGAAACATGAACTTGAGAAAACTTGTCTATGTTTAGTGTATCAGTCATTTACGATGTGGCTTAGTGGTTAAAGAGCTTTCAAAGATTTGATAAAAAGCAAAAATTGTTAGTTAATTAATAAACTCGGTAACACTTTATTATAAGGTGTCTTTGTTACACAGGTTACATGTACTTACGATTATAATAACAATTAATTATGCATAACTGCATGCAAGTAACACTAAGCCAACCCCTAATCCTAACCTTAACTATATAGTAAGTACATGTATTTAATTAATATTACACAGTACTGAAATGTATAATTACACTGCAACAATGACACCTTAAAATAAAGTGTAACCATAAACTCTTATGTTAAAACAATTGTATTATTTCAGATTAGTGCTGGGCAACGATTAATCGCATCCAAAATAAAAGTTTATGTACATAATATGTGTGTACTGTGTATTATGTATATATATATATATACATACATATAAATACACACACACATGCATGTATATATTTAAGAAATACATGTTATGTGTCACAATCTGTGATGGCGAGGAACGATGGAGACGAGGAATAAACGAAACAGTTTTTGATCCATGGAACGCAGGGTACATCAACACTGGAGACAGCAGGAAGCACATCAACGTAACAAGTAGAACCATCAGAGACAGACTGCACAGACTAGGACTTAAATACAGGGGATGATTGGGGAAACACAGGTGTATGGGATGACTAATCAAAGCTAATTAACAAAACGAGGTCAGGAACATGACCAAATAAGGGAACAGAAATGGGGCAAAACATGACACAGACAGTCCATGATCCTGATATTATGTTAGTATATTAAATATGTTTAGCCTATACTGTATATATAATATAAATTGTAT